GGGGCAAAATTGCGGGTGTATCGGCGGCCATTATTGGCACCTCTTTTCCTAATCGGCAAAATACAGAAACACTATTTTCGGCCGATACATTTCGGCTGCAATATATAGGTGCATTCCTAACAGAAACATTACCACACTGATAAGACAGACATCTGTACATTTTCCCCTTTAAAAGTTGGGAGAACAGCTGCCAACAGCTGTAGTTATGGAGTGATCAGCCCCTTACAAAAAGATTGCCAGGGTCCACCATTGCATATATTTTTTTCTAATCATTACTAACTAGCAGACTCTGTCAGATTTTTTTGTGCGTCGGCATATGAAAATGGCGCAGTGAACTGCAGGCGGGTGAAAGAAAGTGTTATGTTTCACCACAACACATTAATGGCATCTAAACTTTAAGTTTGTTGATGCCTGCTCCAACCGAACCCAGGGTAGTTCAGCTCATCACATCATAATAGCCATCACAGAAAACAGTTTCAGAATAGGACCCTTGCTTTCTGTGTTGAAGCAGTGGTCCCTCTGCAGAGGTCTGACACTTCCCCTGTTGAGACTAATGCCTCGTACACACGATAAGAAAGTTGTCCGAAAATTTTTGCGGAACCACTGATTGAACGATTTTCTCTTCATTGATGAGCAGGATGTTTTAACCGCTAACGATATTGTGAACGAAATAATCTGGTTGAACAGTGAAAATTTTGTTTCACATACGAACGACCGATTTTTTTATGCAGTGGTATGACGGTCGTATGAAAAAAATCTATCAAGCGCTATCATGCATGAGCGGAAACAGAAGATGACCCGGATGTTTATGTTCATAAACAAACGAAAAATCCAAATGTTAAAAGTAGATTGGTCTAATGAGTTAATGAAACCAGAATTCTGCATATTCTATTTTATGTATCACTATTTATGTATATAGGTCATGTAATAAACTGTATTATACTCATTGCTGGTAACTGTTGTGTATATCACTTGTTCTGGCCGGAAGGGCGTGACTACAAGGTCACATGCACACTGCATCACTTCCACTTGTACGGCAGACATCAACACTATGTATTGCCAGACAAACGATTTTTTAAGATTGGTAATGTGGGCCATGATTTCGACCAACGAATGAACTCCTCTCGGTCGTCGGAAGGAGCATGAGCTTTGCCAATTGCAGAGCCTTAGGATTGTAGTTGGTAAAGGAAATGTGCGGGACCTCTGCAGAGAGATCACTGCTTTCATAAAGAGCAAGGAACCCTCTCGGCAACATGCTTTTCTATTCAGGCTGTGGGTGATTTCTACCAAAAAAAAAAAAAAAAATTAACTGGGCTCTTAATCCTAGAACATGTCCCAGACTTAAAATACCATATTTTGATGACACTTACGTTTCTTCCTCATTTCAATACTAACAAATTAGAAGTGCACAGTTGGTGGACCTAAATAGCAAACAGAGATGAGTAAATTGACCCCAGAAATAGGAATTTAGGCAACCTCACCTTTTTATAGAATACTGCTAATTTTCCAATCTACGGTTATCCCACAATTGATAAATGCAGCCAATCAGGGTCCACAAACTGCCTATTCTATTCAAACTATTCTACCATATTCAGGGACAAATCTCTGCAATTTAACTAAAGCAGGCCATAGAGGAGTTATTTTTTTCATTCAACCAGCGGGAAAAAAAAAAGGGAGGCCTTGATTCCCCCACCCATCCATGCAATTGATGTGGATGGGGGAAGCCTCACGCTGTGGGTCCCTGTATTTGGTCCAGACAGAAGAAAGACTTTCCCGCTGCCATATTACGTTGGGGAAAATCTGACATGCTTGGTTGTATAGATATTGATCAGTAGATTGACTTTTGCATAACGGGCCTGCCCATACATGGATTGAAATTCGTCCGGCCTCTGCTGAACCGGCTAAATTTCGATCCATGTATGGCTGGCTTAAAGTTACAATACAGGTGGGATATGCCAAACGCGCCCTCTTCATAGATCTATTTACTTCTCTGCATTGATACATAAACATTACACATCCTAATGTCTTCAAGTCAAGTCAGAACACCACAGGTAAGCCCCGAGATTGGTCCTGGTTACAGTTATTGGGATATATGAAAAGGCAGCTCTGCATTGCACTACAGACAGACTCAGCTTGGCAACACAGATATACGCCATGTCTACCGATCCTCACGAACTGCAGACAGCCAACACCTGCACAAAATGCTCCAAACTCATCTCAGCAGCACCATCTAGTGACAACAAAGCTGAACTGTTGCACCAAAATAAAGCAACTTGACTGCAACATTGCTTTAATGGCACTGCCACATAAAAAATTGCATAGGCTTTGATGGAAGCAGCCGTTCCACATGCCAGTGATCCAGTGAGCGTATTAACAGCTTCGCTCTCCAAAAACAGTTTTATGGGTTTTTGGCAGATGATTAGCACCAAGGTCATCAACCTAGCTTGTGATAAACGGGGAAGTCGGTTGACAACTGAAATAGAAAGGAGAGATATGGAAGGGACAGAGAAATGGACCCCTGTGTATAGATGTGATCGATGATATATGGATGCATACCCAGGATGTCAGTGACATTCAACAATGGGTACTGAGCATAATACTCAGTGACATACTACTCTTTCTGTTCGCGTTTCCATAGACTGTCATAGGTGACAGTATAGAAATTGTGGATTGAAGAAATCCATACAGTGGACTACAGCTCCAGCTCATACCATAGATCCTCTCTCTTCACTAATGCCTACTGTTGTAGATCCATGTAAAACTCACACACATTACAAATCTGTATAATCACTTTTTGATCTAGCAACATGTATGTAGTACAAGAGCTTGTCGAACATCATGCGAATTGATTGGATAGCTTAGGTAGGTCTTCATATTACAAAGTTTTGTCAAGACGAAGTTTGTTGTATAGAGATTTTATGGTCGGAGTGTAACGTGCAGGGGTGGACTGACAACTCATGGGGCCCACGGGCAATAGGGGATCATGGGGCCCGTGTCCTTGCCCAAACTCAAAAAAGCCTATGGAAAAGGTACCAGGGGCATCTCATGGGGCCCCCTACTGACCCCAGGCCCTCGGGCAGTGCCTTTCTGATCTAAGGAGTTTCTGTTCCAAATTTACTGAGAAATTATTATATAGTTGATGACATGGCTCCCCAAATCAACACAGACTGTGGAAACTTCACACTGGACTTCAAGCATCTTGCAGTGTGTGCCTCTCCATTCTTCCTCCATACTCTGGGTCCTTGGTTTCCAAATGAGATGCAAAAGTTGCTCTCATCATTAAAGAGGACTTTGGACCACTGAGCAACAGACCAGGTTTGTTTTTCTTTAGCCCAGGTAAGACGCTTCTGACGTTGTTTGTTGTTCAGGAGCGGCTTGACAAAAGGAATACGACATTTGAAGCCCATGTCCAGGATCCGTCTGTGTGTGGTTGCTCTTGCCCTTTTCCTGACAATCCTCTCCAGGCTGCGTTCATCCCTGCTGCTTCTGCACCTTTTTCTTCCACACAACTTTCTATTAATGTGCTTTGATACAGCACTTTGGGAATATCCAACTTCTTTTGCAATTAACTTTTGAGGCTTTCCCTCCGTATGGAGGGTGTCAATGATGGTTTTCTGCACATCAGGTCAGCAGTCTTTCCCATGATTGTGATTCCTACTGAACCAGACTGAGAGACCATTTAAAGGCTCAGGAACCCTTTGCAGGTGTTATGGCTTAATTAGCTGATTAGAGTGGGACACTTTGAGCCGAGAATATTGCACCTTTTCACAATATTCTAATTTTCTGAGATTGTGGATTTGGGGTTTTCATGAGCTGTAAGCCATAATCATCACAATTATGACAAATCACGGCTTGAACTATCTTGCTTTGCATGTAATGAGTCTATCTCATATATTAGTTTCACCTTTGAAGTTGCATTACTGAAATAAATGAACTTTTGCACAATATTCTCTAATTTTTTGAGTTTCACCTGTATATTGTTCTTTGACAAAGACTGGGAAGCAGCCAAATTTGCACTAAGCGGCCACTGGTTGTTTAGCCTATTGTGGATGCTTCCTTTATCGTACACTGAAATACCAGTTTGTATAGTAAGAAAATGCTAACTTGAATCATCAGTTATTGTCTAATCAAATAAATATCATCCTAATTCAATGATTTAGAAGTGTCCAATGTGATTTCTTATTGAAGATATAACACATATTACAAATGCGTTCTTTGTCACTGGAATACCCACCAGAACTGGAAATAGATTGTGTAGATAGGTAGCAGAGTGCACATGACTTTCAGGAGGAGTGATTAATGATAGAAGGGAGCACCTGACCTGACAAAGTCAAGATCTGCATATAAACTGCAGCCTAGTTTAAAAGCCTATACAGTTTAAATGACCTGATCGCACAGATAATTAGCAACTTGTATTTATACGCTTTAACATCCTGGCATTTGTTTAAAGTGGGTATAAAGGCTGAAGGTTGCTCTCTCCCTGCTCATTGGCTCAGAGACAGCATTGAGAGCCATAGGGCCTGTTGCTGTCAATCACAGCAAGTGAGGGGGGCGCAGGGACGGGTCTGACCCACACTCCGTGTGTCAACAGACGCAAACAGCCAGCCCAGAAGAGAGCCCGCATGAGTGCCACCATAGCAAGTGACTAGTTGCTCATGCTATAGCAGGAACTGGGGGGTGGGTGCGGGGAATGGTTAAAGGAGCCAGGAGCGCCAGTGGAGGACCCCAGAAGAAGAAGATCACGGCTGCTCTATGCAAAAGCATTGCGCAGAGCAGACAAACATAACATTCGTCTTTTAAATAACAATCATGGGTTTATAAATTACTTTAAAACTGGTTTTCAGTACAGGCACAATTTATTTACTACAAAAACAATTATAAAGATAGAATTATGGTCTAATAGACAACAGTTAGACTCTTTCAATCTTTCTTTTGTTATGAGGCACAAACTTCAGATCTATATCATTCTACAGCATTGTAGCAGTTTATCCAGAACTTACTGTGGCTGTCACTTTGTCCCAGTCTGACACAAAGGCACGGAAACCCTCTCCAAACACAGTTCCTGCAGTCCTAGAATGAGAATACAGTTAGTTCCTGATTCAAAATAGTGCACAAAAAAAGCAAATGAAGGCACCCTGTATTGATGTAGGGGGGACCAGATGGAACCAGAGTACCATATGGTGAAGCAGACATCTGACACACCCAGAAGTGTTGGAACTTCAGTGTAGCTCTTGGAACAAACAGCCCACTAGATGGACAAGTATAACTAATCTTTCATCCATACAGTTTGCAAAAAGACAAGTCTCCAGCTAAAGTCTTATAGTCTTCTCTCTAGCTGCCCATGTCTCCTACCTTTCTTCCATTTTAGCACTACAGCTTACATCAATCTTTTCACCATTCCACACTTTCGTGAGCGCCAGATGTCTGTGTCCCCCTCCACGCACCATGGGTTTCACACTCTGACCCCTAGGTCACTACTGGACTCAGCATGGATGTAGGGGGTCAGAAGGAAGGAACCACATCAAGTGATAAAAGGACACAAGCATTCGAAACGTCTAGAATTGTTGCACGCTAAACAGACAGACAGAGGCTGCAACATTGGAACGGAGGAAAAGTAGAAAACACAGCCTTCCAGCGTGTAAAGTATAATACCTCTACTACTACAGGAAACTAGAAGAATGGTCTGGATAAAAGCGCACAGATGTGTCCCAAAGGAAATAAGTGAATGGTATATGTCAACTGTGATTGGTGGGGAAAAAAAACTCACTGCTGCCATGGTAAAAACACATCGGTTTGTGGAAAGTATGAACAGGAGCCAGGCGCTGTGTAGTTTTCTGATAAAAGTAATACACCTTATATGGAGGTGTGCCTTTAATAATTCATATGGTAAAAAATAAATAACCAGCCTGTGGCTTTAAGAAGCCAGGTTCCAAGATGGACGGCCCGTCCGCTCAGAGGGAAGCAGTGGAGTAGAATACCTGTCATTGCAGGGACCACGTGTATCCGACGTCCCAGCGTCCTGGATGACGTCACCACAATGTGGAGAGACGGAGGGGGGAGGGGGGGAACTCTTGCTGGAGCCGCAGCTTTAGAAGGAAGAGGCCGGTTGCCGGGACAACATGTTTCGCGCTCATGCGTTTTATCAAGTCTCGAGACTACACAGCGCCTGGCTCCTGTTCATACAGGAAACTAGTGCTTTTAATTTGTTTAGGAACCTGACAGGGTCTCTTTAAAGCAGACCTTGCAGTACAATGCAAGGTCCACATATATTAACCCTTTAAACATCACATTCTGTCAGTAGTTCCAAAATGTACCTGTAAAGAAAAAAAAAAAGTTGGATTTATACTTACCTTTACCAATCTTCTCCATCACTTGACAACACACCAGCATCCTTCTGGAAAAATTACTAGGGGAAGAAGAGCAGGCATTTCAGAGGATTTTGCCAGAAAGAATGTGGCATAATCCTCACTTAGGTGGAAGAAGGGGTAATGTAAGTAAACATCTGCCCTTCTTTATAGGTACATTTCGGAACTACGAACAGGTCATTTTTTTTTGTCATGGAGTAGTATTTATTACATTTGTTGTATAGTTTACAGAAAAACATTAAAACAAATCTCACAAAATAGCAGTAGCACAGGTGTTTCTTATGCAAAACAATGATAATTACAGGCATCCAAAAGTCACACCCATGTAGCACAATTCGAAATAACAAGCAGAACAGTTGATTTTTAAAGGAGGATGGGGCTCTGACAGTACAGGCCTACAATATAAGTTAGTCAGTGAAGTATTTAACTTAAAGCTGACCTTGCAGTAAAATGCAAGGTACTTTTTAGGTTTGAAGTTGAATATACTGCACTGCCATGTTGATGTGGTGGGAATATAGGGTGCTGCATATGGGGGGAAAAAAAAAAAATAATTATATTATATATATATATATATATATATATATATATATATATATATATATACACACACAGAGCTACAATGCACCTCCCTCCTCAATGAAACTACTGTACAGCACTCTATATTTTAAATAGTGCTTTGTGCCAATGTTGCATAATCAAAGATACCTACTAGTCTTCTGAACACCTGTGATAATATACCCAAATAAATAGAGTGCTATAATACACCTCCCATTGCAGGGGGTGTATTCTTAACGAAATATGGCTTATAGTGATTGCAATTTCCGCACATACATAAAATGAAGATATAAAGAAAATTGAATTGTATGGTACTACAATGCACCTTCTCCTGTGTGAATGGGACTATAATGTGCAATGTTGAAAACAACCTGTGTATAAATCCACCACTGTAAAAAAATTAATGTGATACATTAAAACAGTCAGTCCATGATCATGAAATAAAAATAGATTCATCTATGGAAAGCCCAGGTGATACAGGACACCTTCCACATCAAGGAATTAACATAGTGTAGTGACAATTTGGTGATCCTGCTATCCAACAACGGTGATACGTGTTCCACTCATGCTGCCCCTCCAGAGCCCCACTCACCACAAGATTTTGACCACCTCACCAAGGTAGGTCAAAAAGCGCTTTTGGGTGCTTTGGCAAGCCCCTAGGATAGGTCAGTCTTCCTGTACCCTTTAACAACCAATGTCCTTTAGACCTGTATATTACATCTTGCTTTATGGAGACTTCAACTCCCTGTAATTCTAAGACACAGGCTGGAGGGGTGTGACACAGCCTGTGACTGGCAGAAATCTGGCCACACCATGTTACTACCAGAAAATGATGAAGATTTATATTATATTGATATATTTAGATGACAATTTACATCAGCTTATTGAGCTTATTGATATGAATGATTTATTTTCACTCTGTATCCTAAAGGCGGTTTTTTTTATTTTAAGCATGTGACCAGCAGCAGAGGACTAGAAGCTCTTCCTGCCACTGTTTCCCTGCAGAATGCTGGGAAATAGCAGAGTCATGTGACAGCTGTATAATGGATAAGACAGAAAGGTACTTAAGATATGGTGCCATCATCCACATACAGAAAGAAAAAGGAAATGGAAAATAAAACCGTGTGTGTTTAGTATCACTTTAATGCATAGAATACATTAAGTTAAAAAAAAAATGTCCAGAACCACTTTAACCGCTTCCTGACCACCTGCAATGTACTGCGGCAGAGCGGCAGCTACAGGCAAAGTGACGTACCCATATGTCGCTCTGGCTGTACTAACACAGGGGGGCGTGCAGTGCTCTCCCCCTCGTGACTGCGGTGTACAGCAAAATGAAGATCCTGGTGAACGGGACCCTGTGATCATGTGCTATACTAGTTCCTCCTTTGTAAAGTGTCCCCAAAAAGGCAGGATCGGCCCCGTTCGCTGCTAGCACTAGCGTTTAGCCCCTCTGCTGTTTTTCACGGAAGATTTGTACTAACTGATTGTGGGCCAAGGCAATTTATACGCACAATACATGCCCGCCCACCGAAATTCAGCTCTTTCCAGACAATTTGCATAGAAACCTATCACGGTTTCTGAATTTAAAAAAACTCTTTTAACCCTCAACATGGGCATTACAGAAAAGAATGAACTGCAGTCATATTGATCCACAGAGCCAATTCATCATATGCCTGTGTTTTCTGCTGTTACATATATGCCCAACATGGACCAGCAATGTACCGGTACGTCACTGGTTATACCAGGATGATGCCTGCAGCTACAGGCATTATACTGGCATTTTTTTTCAGCTGCTGGTCGGCTTTCATGTAAAAGCAATCCTGGTGGCCAATTAGCTGCTGAATTGTTTTTACGAGCAGCGGGAAGGGACATCCCCCCCCCCCTCTTGCTGCCTTTCACAGTTTTCTTGGGCTCCCCTGTCTCACAGGGGAATCTGAGAATGATCAGCTCTATGGTCAGCCATCGGAACTGCCAGCTGCAGAGACCAGAATGGCTTCAATAATCTCTATAGTCTAAGAGACCGGAAGCTACGAGCATTTCATCACTTCAGCTTCGAAGGCTATAAACAGCGCCATTTTTTAAATTGGGAAAGCATCTGATCACACCGATCTTAGTGATATTAGATAATGTAAGGGCAGAGGAGATATCCAGAGTCTGATAGACCTCAGATTTCTCAAAAAAGAATATGACAATGCCCATTGAAGTTATAGGGGATATTTGCATTCCCTGTGATAGCATTAAAAGTGATCAGAAAAAAAAAAAAAAATGGAAAGGTGTAAATGTAAAAATAATAATAAAAAAAAACCAAGCACCCTTGCCTTCCTGCATGCGCAAGCATTGACCCCATGCCGGTATGTAAGCAGCAGTTGCACTATGCATGTGAGATATCGCCATGAACATCAGATCAAGGGCAGTAATTCTAGCACTAGACCTCCTGTGTAAATATAAATTTGTGACCTGTAAAGGCTTTTAAAGCGTCGCCTATCGATAATAAAAATGTATGTACTTTGTTGCCATTGCATGGGCATGCCCAATTTTAAAGAATGTCATGTTTGGTATCTATTTACTCAGCGTAACAATCTTTTATATTTGATCAAACAATTGAGCAATATATTGCGTTTTTGTGCATTAAAATCATAAAAAGTGTATTTTTCCCAAAAGATTTGCGTTCGAAAAATCACTGCGCAAATACTGAGACGAAAAAATTTCAACACCAACCATTTTATTCTCTAGGGCCTCTGCTTTAAAAAACTATATAATGTTTGTGGTTCAAAGTAATTTTCTAGCAAAAAAAAACAGTTTTTTCATGTGAACAAAATGTGTCAGAAAAGGCTTGACAAGAGTGGGTGATGTGTGGCATAAGCTTCTAATGTTGGCCCTGAAATGCCAGGATAGTAGAAGCAACCCCTCCAAATGACCACTTTTTGGAAAATATTTGCTTAAATACACAAGCTTAAACTGGAACATAGGCACTGATTAACTTAATAATTTTTCCTTTGGGATTAATAAAGTATTCTAAATTAACAGATAAAGAAGTTGCACACTCAGTAAGATGATAACTCAGCTACTGAAAGTGCTTAATAAAACTGAGGGTTTAATATCACTTTAACCACTTGCCCTCCAGAAGATTTATCCCCCTTCCTGACCAGGCCATTTTTTGCGTTATGACGCTGCGTTACTTTGACAATTGCGCGGTCATGCAACACTGCACCTAAATGAAATTTACATCCTTTTTCCCCCACGAATAGAGCTTTCTTTCGGTGGTATTTGATCGACTGTGAGATTTATTTTTTGCGTTATTAAAAAAAAAAAAGACCAACAATTATGAGAAAAAAAAAAAAAAAAAACTATATTTTTGACTTTTTGCTATTAAACCTGTCCAGTAAAAAAATAAAAAAATCACCTGTCCATAAAAAAAAATAATTTAGTCATAGATTTAGGCCAAAATGTATTCTGCTACATGTCTTTGCTAAAAAAAATCCCAATACATGTAAATTAATTGGTTTACGTGAACGTTATAGCGTTTACAAATGGCGGTATATATACTGGGATATTTTATTTCTACTAGTAATAGCGGAGATCAGTGACTTATAGCAGGACTGCGGCGGGCATTCTGAAACTGGGGAGAACTGACTTGGTGTCACTGACATCCCCAGTGACACCAATACAGTGATCAGTGCTAATAAAAGCACTGACGCTGTACTAATGGCACTGGGCAGGAAAGGGTTAACATGTGGTGTGATCAAAAGGTTAACAGTGTGCTGTTTTACTAGGGGCAGTGTGTGTGTGCTTCACTGTAAACACACTGCTTTGCATGGCAGTGCTGTGCACAGCCATGCAAAGCACTGTGCAGGAGATGACAAGGGAGAGAATTATTTTCTTTACAAACAGTTCAATCGCAGATGCTCGGCAATCACTGGGCGCTGGCGAGTAATAACCAGCCAGGACCCGGTGATTGACAGCCGCAGCTGGCAACGTATATATACACACGTGATTTTGCGCACCCGTGCAGCCCTGTAGCACTATTTCTGCTATAGGGTGGACAGGAAGCTGTTAATACTACTTTAAATTACTAGAAATGCAAATTTTCAGGATCCCTTAGGATCCTCCCTCATTGTATGTTTAGGCAAGGTACCTGACTGGTTCCAAAAACGTGCATCAATAATACCTTGCTAGACAATTAGGATGGCCTAAATTCCTCCCTTCTCACATGAAACTACTGTATAAAAAAAAAAAAAAAAAAAAAAAAAAAAAAAAAATATTGAGAATGCAAAAGAGGTGCTAAATCACCCAAAATCCCAAGGTGTCCAGGAACGGAGCCAGGAACCATTATAAAGGAGATCTCTTGTTGGGGTTCCCAGATGATACGAGAGTGCATAACTCAGCCTACCAGACTCGAACCCTTTTTACACAATGTGAGTTTGTGCATGTACTTCTGGTGAGAATGTGCCCCAAGCTGAACTATAGAAATTAATGTAGGACTGTGAAGTGCTCAGCCAGGAATGAATTATTAATGACACCAATTCTTAAACAACCTGTGCAGACAAATGTAAGAAGACAGCTTGTGATTAATACTTATGTCCTAACTCCGTGCTCTTCCCTCATATCAATATTGGCAGAAGGAGTATAAAATTAATTGCTTAAAACTAAGATTTTTTTTCCCACATCAGCTGAGGTGTACTAGGACACTTTGAAGTTAAAAAAGAAAACAGTGCTCTGAGCTTTAAAAGGGCAAGGCACCACCAGCAAGAACTGACACTAGCTGCATGGTAAAAAGTTGTGTTTTACAGTGTAGATAGTGGGAATCAATTTTGGCTTTAGATTCACTTTAACCACTTAAGGACTGCCCTATAGCAGATATACTGCTACAGGGCGGCACCTGTGTTCCTCCGTCAGCTGGAGCACACTGCTCGGGATGCCTGTGCACAGAACAGCCACCCTGATCAGTGTGCTTACAGTAAAGTTCCCCCCCCCCCCCCTAGTAAACCACTCCCAGCACATTAACCCTTAACCCTTTAATCGCCCCTCACATTGACCCCTTCCTGCCCAGTGCCATTAGCACAGTATCAGTGCTTTTTTTTTTTTTTTTTTTTTTTTTATAGCACTGAGCACTGTATTGGTGTAACTGGAGATGTCAGTGACACCAAGCTAGTTCCCCTCCAGTGTCAGAATGTCTGCCGCAGTCCCACTAAAAGTCATTAATTGCTGTCATTACTAGTAGAAAAACTGTCATTACTAGCGCAAAAAAACTTTAAAAACGCACAGGCGATCAAATACCACCAAAAGAAAGCTCAATTCGTGGGGAGAAAAGGATGTAAATTTCATTTGCGTGCAGAGTTGCATGAACCGTGCAATTGTCGCAGCACTGTAACACAAAAAAATTACCTGGTAAGGAAGTGGGGGGGGGGGGGTAAATCCTCAGGTGGGCAAGTGGTTAACACACACAAAGCCCTTTTGAATGCTATACAAGCCCTCCTGTACTGTATAGAGCCTTCTATATTATTTTGGAGCTGCAATGATCTTCTAAAACTGTCACATTTTTATTTGACGTCAGTATGGCAAACCATCTTCTGCTCGTGCAACTCGATTCCTCCTTTTTGATTAAGACTGCAAAAGTCAAATTACAAGAATTTCCTGAAAGTAGGTTTTCATTTGGTGAGATATAGTCTATAGCTCTTGAACACATAGATATAGATACTGCTGTTCTTGTTACAAAGCAGAGACTGTTGAGGTGGCAATAGTAAAGACACTCCTACTCAGTTTGGAAAAGATCATAAGGCTAACAGGTTAGAATAAGCAATACATTTAGCTCAAATACCCGAAGAGGATTTGAATTTTGAATTTGAATTTATATGATTAAAAATGAAACTCAATTTGTTTTTGCAAACAAGCAATGAAAATTATTCCAACATACTTGATGGATTCCAGGACGGTCTGACGATGTTCTGCAGCTTTTAGCCGAATTTGCTCCCGAATGATATCAGCATTTTCACGTTCTACCTTGGCACGAGCTCGAGCCTCTGCTTCAATTCGCATCATCTCATTTTTATGTCGCAACTCCATCTCATGCTCCACCGTGGCTAGATGGGAACAAACAAACAAGCAGCATAAGCAGAGGAAAAGAGACACTTTGTTCACCTTCAGTTTGCTAAAGTCCTTGAAACGTGTACCAGTCGCTTGGATGGGATTCATTTTCAGCAGAAACAAAAAGGTACAAGTTCACTTTTGGGACCATGTCCTCACTTCTAAATACTTACTTTCAGCAAGATTGCTGCCACCTCATTTGCTTGTTTTTTAACCAAGTGAAAAAGCCCTGGATAAGTGCAAAGTTGGTCTGGTCAGAGCTTACATTGGTCAAAAGGACTCTCCCTCAAGATTTTGCAAAATACAGTTCTGCTCCTAATGCTGCATAAATCAAACATGTTCACTGGTTTGTTTAGAATACATACCATATGGTACATATCAAGCTGATCTTTTGGCAGAAGAGCTTTCATTTAAAGTGGTTGTAAAAGGCAGAAGGTTTTTTTTTTACCTTGATGCACTCAGGTAAAATAAAATCTTCTGCATGCAGTTCTCCCCTCAGGCCCCCTTATACTTACCTGTGCTCGATCTTGATACAATGTACATGAGAGCAGTGTCTCTCTTCCTCCCCAATGGCTCAGAGACAGCAGTGGGAGCCATTGACTTCCACTGGGAGGGGCAGAGCTGGCTGTGAGTGTGTGTCAATGGACACAGAGCCAGCTCAGGAACGAGCATGCATGAGTGTCCCCATAGCAAGCTGCTTGCTATGGGGGCACTAGGCAGGGGGGATGGGCCAGGAGCACCAGCGGAGGACCCGAGAAGAGGAGGATCACAGCTGCTCTGTGCAAAACCATTGCACAGAACAGATAAGTATAACATGCTTGTTATTTAAAAAAACAAAACAAAAAACTTTACCTTTAGAATCACTTTACATAACTTCCTAACAACCTAACAAGCCACAAAGGATATAACTTTTGTGTGCGTAACAAATGGCTCCGCAAACTCAGATATTATCTTATATCTGAGTATAAAACAGTAGCAGTGACCACATCACTGTGCAGCACATAGAGAGCAGGTCTGTGGGAGGGACCAGCAGGTCTATGCACTTCAGGCTGCCTGCAGTAAATTACAAGGAAAGGAAGGATGGGTGTTGGATAAAAGACCAGTCACTCTGCATAAAGAAATGGAGCTGCAGTGATCAGTCTTTATTACAGGAAGCTCCTACACAGAGGCAAATTATCACACTGGATTACTGCACAGAACTGGAAAAAATACACCAAGGACACCATGATTCAAGAAAGAACATACATGCCTTTTGTATTTAGACAATATCTGCTTATCCCGGAGTTCAGTTTTGGATAGAGTGGGGAAGGATTATATTTTTTAATTGGTGTTGTGTTCCTTCTGGGTAGACACACCCTATTAGTCTTGATCGTCATAGTCAGACACAGAAAGTAATGGAACAATCAGACAATATAAAGTTGTTAGCCCAAGAGGCAAGGGTAAATCTGTCAATAAAGGCACCTGTTCCACTGACATGTAAGAGGTTAATTCTCCAAACTTAGTAGAAAATTTTGCTCACTTCCTATTCTATCTTCACAACAGGATATAAAATCTTTCCAACATGATCGTTTTAATCCATCTATGCTTTCCAAGTCCTTGTAAGCTGATTTTATGATTAAGCAAAAAAAAAGTACTTGACTATATATATAAAAAAAAAAAAAAAAAAAAGAAAAACATTGCCCCTCTCTTACATCGCCGCATTGCCTCTTGCTTCTGAACAGACTCTTCTTGTTTGCGTAAATTTTCCTCATTTAATTGTTGCTTTAAATAGAATAAAAGTTAAATATTATATTAGTAATACTAGCAGAAATTTAGCATACCAACAAATACAGAGGGCCAGATATAAAGACAATAATAGGATATATAGCTGCCCATTTAACCAATCAGCATCTTTAAAAATTTAGTTTTAATGCTAAACTTTAAAGTGATTTTAAACCTTTATTGTGTTTTCTTTATACAGGTTATATTTACCTGCTCTGTGCAGTGGTTTTTCCCCCAATCCTCCTCTTCTTGGGTTCCCCGCTAGTGCTCCTAGCTTCTACCCCCTGCTTGCTAAGGGGGGGTACTCAAGCACTCCCAAGCCTCACTGCCTGCGTCCACAGACAACAAGGCTTTGTTCCACCCCAGCTCCCTCATTATAGGATCTGACTGACAACAACGGGAGCCATTGGTCCTGTAAGGAGGGAGAGAGCGGAGAGAGACACTGCTCTCCTGCAAAGCGCTGGTTTGACACCAGGCTCAGGTAAGTATAAGGGAGAGCTGAATCCTGGACACAGGTTTTTTACCTTAATGCACAGAATGTATACAGATTACTGATACTTTAGGTCAAGTACTCACTGATACCGAGTACTAATACATTGTGGTGCGATTTCAATACAAAATGTATGGATGTAAATTGATTGCAAAGAATTGCATGCGATTTGAACAGGAATCCTATTCCTGTCTAAATCACATGCTGTCTCCCCACTGCTCCTGTGTGAACCTAGGCTTGTCATAAACAGAAAAAGAACACACAGGGTGTGCAAACGCCTAGCGCAGTACCCAAAATTTATTACGAGAACTATAAAAAGCCAAGTGCATACTCTCAAATGACAAAAATATTGTGCATAGATAAAACAACAGATGATCAACCAACATGGAAGCAGATTTGGGTGGAAGCAGCACCGTCACCGTGCTGACCAATCAGAAGCCGTCTGGCCCAAACTGTCATCCCTACAAGGAGAGGAGAAAAAGCCTCGGGGGAATTTCAAATCCCTGTGGCTTGTTCTCCTCTCCTACAGCTGAGAATCCGGAGCATCTGCCTCCATCCTCTGCCTGATAGCTGACACCAGTGTACACATCCCCACATGCCCTTCTCTCCCACTCTCTGCTCAGCATGGGACCGGTGAGGTTTCCCACACCGTTCCTGTGTGAACTCCGGCTATGACATGCCTGGGTTCACACAGAGCAGTGGGGAAGCAGCATGCAATTTGGACAGGAATAGCATCCCTGTTGAATTTGCATGCTATTCTTTGCGGTGCAATTTGTGTCCATACATTTTGTACTGACACAAATCGCACAGCAAACTATCAGTTTGGGTACCGGAAGCATTTTCACGGTAAAGCACTGATACCGGTATTGGTGCACACCTAGTATAAAGGTAAAGTACATTAAGGCTTTAGGACCACCTTAAAAAAATTATGGATAGAAGCTGACTGGTTGTTATGAGTATCAAGAATTCTTACCTTTTGCACTGGTTTTATACAATCGCAATGCCAAAAAACCGTTGGGACACCGTAAAATCTACATGAAAATATAGGGACCTCCTGGTTTGTTATCAGTTCAAAAGCCATCTCTGATGGTATGGGGGGGTGCAACTTGCACAAGATATATGCAGGTTTTAAAACAGCATATGCTAAGGCAGGAGTGGTACAAAATTTCTCTCCCAAAACAACAAAAACGGTCTCCTCAGTTCCCAGACATTTACAGAGTACTGCTAAAAGAAAAGGGGATGCTGCGCCGTGGTAAACATGGCCCTGTCCCAACTTTTTTTTAGAATTGGGGTTGCATTTTGCCAGCTTTTTGTTGCTCTGGCCCAACTTTTTTGAGACATGTTGCTGCCATCAACTTTAAAATTACCTTGTTATTTTAGTTAAAATGGTGCATTTTCTCAGTTTAAATATTTTATATGTTCTCTATTTTCTATTGTGAATAAAATATGGGTTTATGAGATTTGCAAATCTTTGCATTTTGTTTTCATGTAGATTTTATACAACTTCCCAACTTTTTTGGAATCGAGGTTGTACATATAACCACATCCAACTGTTAAAACTATGACTAACAAACATATTACCATTATTGAAGAAGCTGAGTGAGGAGATAACCCCACGTCTTTGTATCAGAATTTTAATTTTACATATTTCCAGTTCTAAGAAGTTCCTGAACCTTTAACCTATATCCCACAAAATGAGTAATAATATTTATAAACCAAAAAGCATTAAAGTTATTAAAGTCCTTTAATTGTGATATGCGTTTAGTCTAGTCCCCCATAATCCTGCATTCACATTTCAATAACTGTTACTGTGAGAGACGAGAAGTTGTAAAAGGTGATCAAATAAACCAATTCTATTTTTCCCCACTTTAATTCTACTCAAAAGGTTTTGCTGTCAAAGTTTCAGTTGTGAGAATAGTGTTTATCAACCTAAAATAGAAACATGCAGTGTATGTATCATTGGAGACAATGGCTGCATATTCAAAGCCACCATGTAAATTGTATGTTATGCTCAATACAAGGTATACTGCCCCCAAGTGGTCATTGAGCATCATGTACCAGAAACATCTACAATTCATATCAGTGTTTTTTTTTAAATGTACTAACAGAAAGTTTGTCTCAACCATATACACATTAACTGGGTAGCACAGTGGCTAAATGGTTGGCACTTCAACCTGAAGGTACTAGGGTCGTTGGTTCGAATCCCAACCACAGCACCACCCGCCTGGAAATTGCATGTTCTCCCTGTGCTTGCGTGGGTTTCCTCCAGGTACTCCGGTTTCCTCCTACACTCCAAAGATATGCTGGTAGGTTAATTGGATCTTGTCTAAATTGCCCCTAGCATATGAATGTGAGTTAGGGACCTTAGATTGTACCTGGAGGGTTAGGGATTGATGTGAATGTACAATATATGTAAAGCGCTGCGTAAATTGACAGTGCTATATAAGTACCTGAAATAAATAAAAATAAAAAAAAAATAATTGACCACAATAGAGATGGACTTAGTTTTTTTAATAAAACAAACACATCTATCTAAATATATAATTCATAACAACACATGTAAGATACTTACCTGCTGCCGTAATTGATCTTCATATCGCTGCCTTGCCAGTTTATCTTGGTACTGAGCTCTCTAGAAGAATGTCAGAAATAAAGAAAAGTTAAACCTTATTCTTTCCACTGAAACATATGCTATATTAAGAGGAAACAATGAAGCTGAACAGATTAAAAAAAAATGCAGAACTGCAGATTACAGAAATAGTCACCTTGCTCATGCAGGGAACAGACAAAGTGTCCCTGCGACACCCCCCCCCCCCCCCGACCCCCACCGCAAAACTTCCTGCACCACCAGACCCTCCTATATTCCGCTTACCAGCAATGCCTATCTGCTCTTTCCTTCTTTCTTAGCAGCAAGCTAAAATTACTGGCACTTCTGGGTAAGGAGGAGAATGTCACCTGCCCTGCGCACTGCTCGATCTAGCAGCCAATTGTAAGGTCTAAGCTCTGTCACTTTACCCTGTTCCGTCTCATTAACCACTAGCCTACAGGGCACTTATACCCCTTCCTGCCCAGGCCAATTTTCAGCTTTCAGCGCTGTCACACTTTGAATGACAATTGCGCGGTCATGCAACACTGTACCCATATGAAATTTTTATCATTTTTTGAGACAGATAGAGCTTTCTTTTGGTGGTATTTAATCACCTCTGGTTTTTTTTTTTGTTGCTAAAAAAAAAAAAAAAAAAAACACTGAAAATTAAAAAAAAACAAAAAAAAAAAAAACGTTTTTTCTTAGTTTTTGTTATAAAATTTTGTAAATAAGTGATTTTTCTCCTTCACTGATGTGTGCTAATGAGGCTGCAGTGATGGGTACTGATTGGCTGCACTGATGGACACTGATAGGTGGCACTGATGGGCATTGACAGGCATCACTGATGGGCACTGAAAGTCAGCACTGATATATGGCACTGATAGGCGGCACTGACTGGCATTGATAGATGGCACCAATAGGTGACACTGAAAGGCAGCTCAGATGGGCACTGATATGTGGCATTGATGTGCAGGGGTTGGCACTGATATGTGGCATTGATGTGGCACTGGCAGGTGGCATTGATGAGCGCTGACAGCTGGCACTGCTGGGGCTACACTGATCATCAGTGCCCTGATGATCAGTGCACATGTCCCCTCTGATGAATGCCGATTTAGTCTCTCCTCTCGAGCGGTCAGCGTGACAGCTCATGAGGAGAGAAATGCCGATAAGCGGCATTTCCCTATTTACATGTGATCAGCTGTGATTGGACACAGCTGATCACATGACCGAGCCGACATCTTCGGCTCTTTCCATTGATCGGTGATCCGCTGTGTCCAAGGGACACAGCGCACCACTGATCGCCACGCTGTGTGCCCCCGGAGCCGCGCATGTGCGGTTAGAATGGGAGGACATCATATGACGTCCTCCCAGAACAAGAGAACCACCTTGCGCCTGTCATTACCTTATATGGCGGGCGGGAGGCAGTTAAAGAGATATCCCACTTTGGTTGAGAATAAAAAAAAAAACCTCTTAAAAGAAAAATTATTTTTTTTTTTTTTTTGTTACATTATTCAGTTCCATAGTCCCTTTCACACGGCTGTTCGATAACATTAAAAAATAGTGAAAATTCTTATTTAAAAGTGGTTGTAAACCTAAAAAACACAAATCAACCTAATACTACAGTTGATAGATTTTACCTTTACTAAGCATTTGAGCTTAGTTTGGTATCTTGAAACAATCCCCTTCTTCAGATATCCCCCCTGCTCTTCTGAACAAAATAGATCCGAAACAAGCAGAAAAATGGTGTCGCCACTCCCCTTCTCCTGTGACAGGCTGTGCTGAAGATGAGACCAGCATGAGCCTCTGTGTAATACACTGCAAAGGGGTGGAGGAGTGGGTATCCTCTCCCTGCTGGTCTCTCTGTTCACAAGATTGAGAACTCAGCAGCAGTGATTTATGACATAGATCGGCATCACTTCAGTAATGCTGTAGTTATCTAGGTAAGTCTGCCGACAGCTGATCATTGTCCCGCTCTGTTCACAGCCCCTAGCTTGTGATTTGCTGTTTACAGAGTTCTACATGAGAATGTCTCCTGGTCCACACTGCCACTTTAGGCTGCCAGATTCCAAGGATTTTTAACATTAACCCTTTCCTACCAGCTTTCTCCTGATTAGTACTGATCTTGTGCTGTAAGCAGAGCTGACAGTCACTGGCACCTGTGTATTCCCCTGAATGCACTCAGGAGATATGCTCACAGGCATAGAGATGTCAGATAGCTGTGCATGTTCTTGAACTGAGGCTGGAGGGTGTGTATAATTGAGAGATTGTGTGACATCACCTCTCGGCCTACTATTCTCTGCTCCTAAGCCATGCCCACAGACCAGCAGTTTTTGGAGGGCTGAGACGAACTAAGGGATAATTTTTCTTAGGTACGCCAACAGCTGTATGTATGTTTACATTAAAAAGTATTAATTTATGGCAAAAAGTTATTTTTTTTTAATATTTGTGTTTACAACCACTTTAACCTTCTTCCAAATTAACATTCTGCAGCCATTCATTTTCCATTACAGTTGATTAATCATAGCCACCAATCAGCATTTTAACTGTGCAGTTCTGAAGCTACCCGGGAACACACAGCAGAGACTAAATTACAGGCAACAGAAGGAGCCTACATTGAATATTTACGATACCTGAACAAAATAATACTGAGCTTCCTAGTGCCACAACCCAAAAATACAGAGGAAAAAAAAATTGCTAGACAAAAAAGTTGTAAGGGCAAACTAGTGGATTTTTTAGGCAGAGTGAGAGACCACACTATCATATAAAAACCATAACAATTTATTAACATAAAATAATCACAAATCTTTGTGATTATTTTAGGTTAATAAATTGTTATGATTTTACATGATTGATTGTGTGGGGTCTCACTGTGCCTACAGTGGCCGTACAACTTTTTGTCCAGCATTTTTTTTTTTTTTTTTTTAAATTTGCTATACCTGGTTTGATTTGGGATGCATTGTATACAGAAGGCTGCGCAACATTCTGCAGAGCCTTACCATACATCGCTTTATCACTTTCTAAGATCACTTTCAATTTTAGGGCTTTGTTCATTTTCAAACCTTTTACCTAAATATATAATGCATCAGTTCTGTAATGTCATATGTGACTGTGCTCACTAAAAATCAACTCCAACAATCAGCTAAACAGAAGTGTGTGTGCGTGTGTTAAATCTTTGCAGTCACTAATTTGATCAAGGCACCACTGTTCACTCTCATTTGTCCTCTTATCAGTCTGCATGTCTACACATGTGCTCTGCTAACAGTGCCTGACTGGCTTATTGTACTAGACCTGCCATTACTGCTCAGCTCCTGCCACAGATACAAGCACTGGTGCAGAGGCACAATAAGGGGTTGTGTAAGAGACGCTTTGCCAAAGCACTGAATTTTCAGTAAAGGCCCTCTCTTAAGGCACTATTTAACTATATTTATAGAGGGATGAAAGATTAGCCCCTGTGGTACTGAAACAACATTTCAGACAGAGACTTCAATATTTTTATTATGGGGATTCCTGAATTCCCTCTGAGGCCTGGGTTTTATTTATAGGATTACTACACCATTTAAAGCCATATATTTAAAAAAAAAAATAAAACCTACCTTTTTTTTTTTTTTTTTTTGTTAACTTTACGCCATATTTGTGAACAAAGCGTACGCTACTACCTTATACTGTAGTCGCCTGGGAGAAAGAACTGAACCATCAGTTCTCCGAGGAAGACCTCCAAAAATGTTTTACACAAGTACTGCGATTATGGCCCAAGAGAGGAGCTTTAACACGGGTGTTAGCTGTTTCCAAACACCAATCAAAATATATTTTCATCAGCCTTACAGCAGTACTGGAGATCTGAGAGAGAAATAAGCACCATGCTTCACATATGCTGGTTGTTTTTCTATTTTGGAAACAAACCTTAACTATATTTGAAGAGCTCTATCATGCACAGAAAAATCCATATCTGAACATGATCTAGAAACATGGCCATCTTCTCTAGGCCAAATGGTCTGTTGCAAAGTGGAAAACTGTTCTGTGGTCAGGCTAATTGAAATTTGACAAACTTTTGACAACCATGGGTACAACAACCTCAGTACTAAAGAGAAGAGCAACTTTTGGGCTGGTTATCAGTGCTCAGTTCAAAAGCCTGAATCACTGATATACCATATGTAATGGGCAGCTTGCAAATCTGGAAAGGCACCGTCAATACTGAAAGATCTAACCAGGTTTTAGAGCAGCAAATGCTCATATCCGTACAACGGCTTTTTCAGAGAAGGCCTTCCATAGGCCTGGCATGACAGACACGGGCAAAGGCATGACAACAGCATTGCTTTATAGCAGAAGAGCCCAGGTGCTAAACTGTCTGCAGTCTAGATCTTTCACTAATTAAAAATATTTAAACAACAAATACAACAAAAATGACCCAGAACTGTTGAGCAGCTGTTATCCTTGATCAGGCAAGAATGGGACAACGATCCTTTCCAAAAAGTCCAGCAACTGGTCTCCTTAGTTCCCCAACATTTCCAGAGTGTGTTAAAAGTAGAGGGGATGCCACACCATAGTAAACATAACCCCATCCCAAATTTTTTGAGATGTGTTGTTGCCATCCATTTCAAAATTATTTTTTTCTTAACATTTTCTTAGCTTAAACATTTTATATATTTTCTATTGTGAAAAAATATGGGTTATGAGATTTGCAAATCACTGAGTTCAGTTTTTATGAACATTTTACACAGCGTCCCAACTTTTTTGGAATTGGGGCTACAAATTCGGCCTCTTTCTTCCTATTAGCAGCAAGAATGGTAATCCTGAGGTACTGAAGGTCAAGCAACCACCCTAATCTATCAGCTCTGAGGAAGGGAGCTCGTCTCCCGAAACGAATTAGCACACCCTGTCGCAAGACCACCACTTGCTGTCACATTGTTTCCTTGCTTTTATTTATGACTCTTGGTTTGTGAGTATATACTTTTGTCACTCAATAAATTCTTTTTTATCACTGTAATGCATGAGGAGAGTGCGCCCTTTTTTTTCTTTTCCAGTACTATCAAGATTCCCAGATCTTTAGAGGGCTGCACCTCAGCGAGTGACTGTTACCGTGTCCCTGGGACGTTTATGGACCTGAATGCTGGTTTTGCTTTTCCTTCTTGTATTACAAAAAGTAACATGAATGTGCAAAGAACAAAGGTAGACATTAGCCTTTATAATCCAATCGGACTGAATAGGTCTGTCCACTGCATTGCTGAAAGCAGAATTTTTGAGTGGAGGGTCAGTGAATGCACCAAGAGATGACGTTAACCATAATACTTCAGCAGTGAAAGGCTACACTGCTAATCTATGATTTACCTACTCCAATGAGTACTTCCAGTATCATCTTCAGGTGTTAATAAGTGCAGCTTTATTGACTTACAGCTTGATTCTGCTTGGTCTCCTCATTTAAGGTTTTCCTCCTCTCCTCTCCTTGTACTCTTATCTGCTCACTCTTCAACTGTTCCAAGGCCGCTTCATATTCCTAAATGTGAAAATATGATTCTTTAAATAAGAGGAAAATACCAGTGTAGAAAAGAAACACAACGGCGTGGATACTGACAAGGTTAAATCTGCATCAAACAAGGTGCCAAAGCTGTGTTAATTCCATAGTTGATGATTCTCAGTTTGTAAACTGTAATACTCAATATTTAAAAACTGTTAATTGTTAAAACACCATTGTACATGCTGAAATTGCCCTTTGAGATGTGCAAATGTAAATTTCCTACAATTTGAAATTCCTGCTTAATTTGACTGCAGCTTCTTGTCCTTCACTTATTGCTGACAGGGGATAATTCATTTTTTCAGTGGTGAGCATAATAAGAAAGAGACAATCCCAGGATGTGTGTATAATTCAGCCTTTTGTAGAGCTAGAGAAGGGTAGAGTTGAGAATCACTGTTTTTCAGAATTAAGGGGCATGGTTTTGGGTGTTCACGAAAAAAAAAAAAAAAATAGGGTTAAGAACAACCAACACATTTTAAACAGGACAGCCTTTAGGTTTTGATAGGATGAAAAAAAACCCGAACCATTTGGCTGTGAAAAGTGCCTATTCAAATAGGTTCCCTCTCTGATCCTACTTGCGGCCGCATTTAAAGGGCATATCTAAGCAATTAAGAACAAAATGGATAAAATGGGGAAGGGTTACACTATCTGTTATGTTTTTATTGCTGTCCATTGGTGAGATTCACTACTGGTAAACCATTGTCACCGAGACAGAAAGTGAGGAGAAATCAAAATTTTAAAGTTGTCTCCGGAACAAGGAGGTGCTAGAAAAGCATCTAATTGGGACCTTGCTGCTGGGACAGCTGTCTAAGAAGGGAATTCCCCTCACTTTCAGAAATTTTCTTTAAGTTTGTGTTGCATCTCTAGGACAGGGTTTAAGGGAAATGTCCCCAATGATAAAAAAAACTGCAAAATAAATAAATAAATAACCCGGAAGGGGTTTCAACCTTTTCCAATTCTAAAAACAACAACAAAAAAATGTTCTGGCTATATACAGAATACACTTTATTACAGATTTGGAAAGCAGTAGGAGAGTGATATCACTGCTGTACTAAAGTCACAACTCCTTTTCAGGGTCTCTATGTACTTATTTTTGAATAGAAGGGCATGAATGAAGAACTAGATGAAATAGTTTTAAAATACACAGACTCTTTAATGCCTAAAGTAATTGATGCTACCAGCTATTACACTTCCCAAACAGCACTCAAAGTTGTTTTTAACATTGGGTACATTTTTTTGCAATGTTACCTTGATTTTAGCTTGTTGTTCCAGGTGAAGGGTCTCTTCTTGAATCTTAGCGAGCTGAAGTGCCTCCTTTGCATGACCTGGAAAACAATAGGCCTGAAATGTCTAAGAACTCTTGACTTTTCACAACCAAGAAAACATTTAACCTTTTTGAGCTGATACAGGCATCCACACAAAAGAAAAAAAAATGAAATTAAAAAAGTAAAATGAGTACTCAACAAACAATTAATGTTCAGACATCAAGTGGGTCCTCAATCCCGACTTTGAACCTAAAGTGCCAGACTGAAGGTAAGTAAAGCTTATTATGTGGGCAAATGTAAATGTATAAATCTGCACAGTTATTGAATTTAAAGCGTAATTCCATGATTATAAAAAAAAAAAAAAATACTTTCCAGAGAAGCCCCACTGTTACGGCAAGGGTTAGGCCCCTTTTCACACGAAGGGTCCAATCAGGTCCGCCTGTCAGTTTTTCAGGTGGACCTGATCAGACGGTCCATTCACCTCTATGGACCGGCGGTGTAAACGGACTTGTGTATGCATCGTTAACTGAAAAAAGTACCTTCTATTACTACCAGCCTGTATGTAGGAATGTAGCCACCCCCTCTTACTCGCTGCAGAGGTGGACTAGAGACTATGGGATTTGTAGTGACAAGATCGCAACTAGCATTTGCATTTAAGTGAGAGGGAAAAGGAAAGGTTCAGGACATTACCAGAAGGCAGAAAAACACAGTAGGAAAGGATTTAATGTAAAACATACTACATGGCTTTTAACCCTTTCACTGCCAAGTCCGTACGGACCTGACAACAGGGGGGGTGTTTATAAACAATCTGGTGGGCGCAGCCATCTGGATTGTGTATAAAAAACTGACAGACAGACTCCTGACTGTCAGGTAGAAGCAATCAGGTGGCTCCGCTGGCGCTAATTGCTTCCACAGCCCCTGGCCACAGTGCCCATACCTCCCCTACCCCCCGCAAGTGCGCTCCCACCATGTATTCAGGCTCTGCTTGCCCATATGCGGGCCCGGGAAGAGCCATGGCAGGAGCCGAAGGGTGGAAGCAGGCAGTTACTGAATTGCAGGAAGAATCAATTAACTATGAGAGTACTCACCAGCACCTTTGCAGGTCATTGAGCACTACAAGCTGTCAGCTGCGGTGGTCATCGGTAGTGGTGTGAATGACACGGCTGTGTGGGCAGAGTTCCACGTGGGAGCGCTGTTTTTAATTGTGACAGTGGGTGTGGGAAGAAGATCCCCTGCCTGCTGTCCCAGGGAGGAGGGATTGGGGGGGAGTGGAACCAGGAGCTGGAACATGTTACACACTAAATATGAGTGGAACAAGAAACATGCTCCAAAGGTGGACTTAGACCTTAAGTAAGAGATGTGCATGAACTCTTTTTGTAGAATACGGATATTATTTAGTGTCACATGAAATGCTCATTAAGCGTAGGCACAGAGGAATACTGCCTAATATTTACCTCATGTCTCGCTTCGGCAAGCTCCCTCCATTCTGTGTAGCCAGTCCCCCGATATCTCTTCACTAAGGCTACGTTCACACTAGCGTTATGTGCAGGCGGCAGAAAGGCGTTTGGGAAGCATTTTTACCGCTTCCCAAACGCCTCGGACAATTCTGCACATTGCAGCACATAGTGTTGTTCTAACAGGAGTGTTAGTGTCGCGGCGCGGCAAAACGGATGCCTCTAGTCGAGTCAGGAGGCGTTGAAGCCTCCTATTCTAGTCTATGGTGCCGCTCCGCAAACGCCCGGCATTTGTGGTGCGGTTGCGACCGCCATTCAAACTTCATTATAGGCGTTTGTGGGCCGTTTTTAACGCTCGGAAAACGCCTAGCAACCGCCGCTGAACCGCCCATACGGCGTTTGCGGAGCGTTAAAAAACGCTCCGCAAATGCCGGACCAACGCTTGCCAAATGCTATAGGGCGTTTGGCAAGAGTTGGTAAAACAGTCACGTGTGAACGAGCCCTAAGGCACTCTTGGCCAGTGGTCTCCTGTTCACAAACCTGAGTGTCTGGAATCCTGCCTGAGTATTACACCTCATTCCACTACCCCTTAATGAGTATTTATCTCTTGCAGTGCAGAGTGTACTATGGCATCCATCAATCTATGAATGGAGGAGGCAGACCTTTTCTTCATCTGCCATCCTCCATTCATTGAGCGATAGTACAACTTCTATGAATAGCAGAGGGATGGAAAGGGCAGGCATAGTCAACACCTTTGAGTGTGATATGGCAGGTCCAGGGGCTCATATTAACAGGAATATGGGGAAGAGGAGGGCGGAGGATGGAAGATTTCAAAAAAGACAGCAGCCACCAGCTCATGGGACAATTTTAATTTATTATAAGTACTCTCCCTTGTTCTGATTAAAAATATATATTACTCAGGCTTTAAAACTGAGGATTCAGCTTACTGCATAAGCCTAGCCATAGTGGGTTCACTGTGAATTCTCGGATTGCTGCTTTAGATGTCATATTCACAAATATCCCAACAATAAATATAGTACAATTTTAAAGGAAAAAAAATTAGAAACTGAAGAATTGCCTGCAGCAAAAAAATAAGATCTGTCTTTAAAATGTAAACAGAGAATTGGGGCACTACAGGCAACATCTCTACCACCATATCATAATAAAAGACAATCCTGCTAGTGACCTCATTGATCATGTGACCTACAATGTGGACAAAAAGACTGCAGACGAAAGAATGATGCAACTATGGCTCAACACACCGACATCTCACACACATCAGTACAGGAGGCAATGGGCACTAGTATTAGGCAAGGATGTTACACAAACATGATATAGATCAGACCTTGGCACTGCTTACATGTTTTAAACATCAGTAGCTCCATAAAATCTATATTTCTAAAATCAGACTAAAGCTGGTCATACACTGAACAACATTCTGCTGTTTCAGTTGGGTCTGGACGAATTTTGATCAGTGTGAGGCTGTCCCCACTCAACAGAAGTCGATTAAGAAAATTTTTCCAACAGGTTCCTTTTTTAATCAGTGTATTCTGACAGCGGCCAGGAGACTCCTCCATCCAACTTGTTTGTGGAGATAGAGTTTTTTTTTTCATTCAGCCAAAAAAAAAAAAAAAAAACACCCACAAACCCAGAACGATGGTGTCCGGCAGTGAAGTGGGGGTCTACAGGAGGAACCATCATGTTCCAGCACAGGGGAGGAAATGCGAGGGGTTTTCCATCACAGGGGGATGAGGGGGGGGGGGTTGCAGGAGGAAGCCATGCTAGGGGTTATCTGGCCCGGATGGGGTGAAGGACATGCTTGGTATTATCTGGCACGGGGACCCATGCTCAGGATCTAGTGGCATGGGGGGTGGGGTGTTGTGCATGCCAGGGATCTCGTGGCATGGGGGGGAATCCATGCCAGGGATCTTCCGGCACAGGGGGGGCCACACCAGGGATCTTCTGGCATGGGGGGGGGGTCCATGCCAGGGATCTCCAGGCACGGAGGGGGGTGAGAGCGGGTGTTGGGCATGCCAGGGATCTTGTGGCATGGGGGAAATCCATGCCAGGGATCTCCAGGCGGGGGGGGGCAGTGCTATGGATCTCCGGGCATGGGGTGTTGTGCATGATAGAGATCCCGTAACCATGGGAGGAATCCATGCCAGGGATCTTCCGGCACGGGGGGGGGGGGGGAGGGGGGGGGCAGATCCATGCCAGGGATCTTCCGGCACGGCACGGGGGGGGGGGGCAGATCCATGCCAGGGGGGGGGAGGGGGGCAGATCCATTGCCAGGGATCTTCCGGCACGGGGGGGGGGGGCAGGCCAGGGAGATCCATGCCAGGGAACTTCCGGCACGGGGGGGGGGGGGGGCAGATCCATGCCAGGGAACTTCCGGCACGGGGGGGGCAGATCCATGCCAGGGAACTTCCGGCACGGGGGGGGGGGGGGGCAGATCCATGCCAGGGATCTTCCGGCACGGGGGGGGGGGGGGGGGCAGATCCATGCCAGGGATCTTCCGGCACGGGGGGAGGCAGATCCATGCCAGGGATCTTCCGGCACGGGGGGGGGGGGGCAGATCCATGCCAGGGATCTTCCGGCACGGGGGGGGGGGGGGGGGGCAGATCCATGCCAGGGATCTTCCGGCACGGGGGGGGATCTTCCGGCAGATCCATGCCAGGGATCTTCCGGCACGGGGGGGGGGGCAGATCCATGCCAGGGATCTTCCACGGGGGACGGGGGGGGCAGATCCATGCCAGGGATCTTCCGGCACGGGGGGGGGGGCAGATCCATGCCAGGGATCTTCCGGCACGGGGGGGGGGGGGGGGGGGGGGGGGGGGGGCAGATCCATGCCAGGGATCTTCCGGCACGGGGGGGGGGGCAGATCCATGCCAGGGATCT